TAGAAACTTTATAGTGCACATATAACATAGATTGTGCACGTATAATGCACAAATATCTGTCCTTATTTTTAAATTTGGTCAAATTTCTCATTTAACTTAAAAGTGCATAAACACACCTAATCCATAAATTAAGAAATCAATCCACGAAGCAATTATGTCTTCATTTTTTTAATTTAAAAAGGAATAGAGTATACATACTCTAATTCACAAATTAAGAAATCAATCCAAAAATGATTGCAAAAAGATGAAACTTTCCAAAAATAATTGCAAAAGGATGAAAATTTTAGCTACAAAAAAAATTCTTTTTTTGTTTGTTTGTTTGTTTTTTATTTTGTTGTATCAATTTCATCTTTACTTATCTAAACAAGTGATATAAATAAAGAAAAATACATTTATATTTTTTTTTTCTTAACCAAATTGCTTAATTCAAACGGAGACGAAAAGGAATAACTTTTCTTAGCAATGAAGAAAAAATTTATATATATCAAAGTTGAGCTGAGTGAGCATTTGAATTGCCATTTGCCAGATAGAAAAATCATCACATAGCACTCTTCTTCTCTACCACATGTCCTTCAATATGGAACCCTTCTCTGCTCTTCATATATCTTCACCACCAGCCCTAGTCGCAGCTCCTGATCGACCTCCACCACCATAACTGGGGCCGTGATTTCCTCCTCCAGAACACTTTTCTCTGGTCGACCGGCTCTCTATAAAGAATAACATCACTATTGGTGTTGCCGAAAAGGTCATCGGAGATGACGATCTTCTCAAACAGATACTAAAACAACTACCCCCAAAGCCTCTTTTCGAATTCAAGTTTATATCCAAGAAATGGTGCTCATATCCTTACGTTCTTCACAACTGGATCCCCTCAAGTTTTTCTTCTTCTTAAAATTATTGGGATGACAAAAATACATAGATAGTGCACATATAATGCACAAATATCTATCCTTATTTTTTGTAACGCCCCAAAATAATCACAACAATCCAACTCCAAACACCAGTACAAAGTGATATAGATACAATAAGAAGATTTCATTAATCAGAGTTAATATACAAAATGTGATACATGCGATATACATTCATAAATCGTTCATCTTGAATCTACAGCATGTATTACAAAACATAATAAAGAATGAAAGCTATACATATATTCATATCCCCTAAAGGCTTACACCTTTCCAAGACCGTGCTTAGTTACAATAAAATGAGTCATAAGCTCAACACAAATAAAGCCCTAGGCTGAAAAAGTAAATACAAAATAAACAAAAATTGAGCCTTCAGCTTCATAGTCCTCCTAAGCTAAGTCCTTGGCGGAGGCATATCACCAGCACCTAAAAATAGTTTTTCCCAAGTAGGGTGAGCCAAAGCCCAGTATAAACTATCTAACACAGTATATGGATCTTAACAAAGATATAAGTATGATATGCATATACAATGCCCCTAATAAAAATCATTCGTACCTATACAAGATCAAAGTATGCCAAGTTTCATATCTCAATCCCTTTTATCTTAATTCGTTTCATGACAATTAGGGGTGTAATTTTGGCCCGGCCCGGCTCGGCCCATGTTGGGCCTTGTAAGCTCTCGCCAAAAATCAGGCCAGGGCAGGCCGGTCCACGGGCTAGAAAACTAGGCCCAGGCCCAGGCGTATTTGGGCTTTGGGCAGGCTAGTGGACAGGGCCTAGGTCTAGGCTCGGGCTTTGGGCAAGCCTAAACAATTTTTTTAAATTTTTTCTACCAAAATTTTATTATTTTCCATTGAAATAAACATTGGGCCTCGGCCGGGCCTCAAGCTAGGTTTTTAAGTGGGCCTTGAGCAGGCTCATGGGTCGGGCCGGGCTTCAAAACAATGGCCCAGGCCCAAGGCCTCGGGCCTAAACGAGCTGGGCTCATCCTGGGCCGCCCACGGGCCACGGGCCATTTTTACACCCCTAATGACAATTCATTTCACCTCAGTTTCATGAGTCAAGTTCATTGTTATCCAGACAACCCAACCGAGGCTTGGAGTGTTATGTTTTTATTCGTAATGTGAGATTTGTTCCATGAAAAGGGAAAATCCAAAACCTCTATAATATGGATTGCCCAAATGTATAATTTTACATTTGGAGAAACCCACTTTTATCCTTAAAAAATTAAACATAATATGTAAGTAACTACCCTTTTGTGTAATTTCCACTTTAATAGGACCTTGGAGTTCATAACGAGGGGGAAAAAAAAAGGGTGCATTACACTAAAAGTCCCTATAGTTTAGGGCTTGTGTCCTTTGGTCCTTGACTTTTCAATTGTGACACATTTGACCTTGAATCTTGATTCTTGTTCCAAATAAAGACAATTGAATCTACCATTACTGAATTTCAAAGGCAAAGTCGTCAATTTGATAAAATATAAACTATTTTGACAAAAATAAATATCAAAAAATATTTTCAAATTTTTAAAAATTATTTCTACCCACTAATGATAAAATTATGTAAAATTGATAAATCTTTTACACATTAATTTATTTATTTTTACTAAATTAATTTTTATTATATGTTTGGATGATGATCATGTAATAGGTAGTTGTTTTTTTTTTTTCATTAAATTAGTTTTAGTTTTTTTAAAAGTCAAATATAGCGACAACTTTGATATCATTATTAAACCAATCCATTAAATCAAAAAATTCAAAACTAAAAATATTTCATATATTAAATATATCGATTACACATTAAAAGCCTAGCAACCACCAATTACATGATCCAAACACATAATAAAAATTAATTTGGTAAATAAAATAAATAAATATGTAAAAGATTTATCATTTTTACATAATTTTATCTTTGGTAGCTAGAAATAATTTTTAAAAATTCAAAAATATTTTTTTGACATTTATTTTTGTCAAATTAGTTTATATTTTATCAAATTGACGACTTTCCCTTGAAATTGAGCAATGGTATCTTCAATTGTCCTTATTTGGAACAAGATTCAAAATTCAGGATCAAATGTGTCACAATTGAAAAGTCAGGGATCAAAGTAATACAAGCTCCAAACTATAGGAACTTTAGTGTAATTTGCCCCCTCAAGAAATGGTGCTCATATCCAAAAAAAAAAGGAAAACTAAACAATTCACAAGATCATATTTTGAGATTTATTGGTATTTCACCCTTCATTTATTATACTAGATTTTGTAGATAGCCTTTTTATGATATTAAATGCAATATCAAATCTCAATTAGCTCCCAATTTGTTATACTTAGATTTTGTAAATTACTTCATTTTAATGATAGATACTTCAAATCTATAATGCTCACAATTTATTATAGGGGGAATCACTTAACAATGTAATAGGAAGAAAAAAATTTACACAAACAAACATGGTGGGGTGTAATTTGTACCCGCATAACTTTTTCACTTGCACCCTACCACAGAATTATTTACACTTCTCATGTATTTGTATTTTTTTTTCTCTACTCCACTCTTTAAGTAATTCCCCTTTATTATACCTTGATTTCGTAGATTACCTTTTCTATGGCTATTTTGGGAAGATGGTTAAAAGTCATCTTCTAGCTTTTAACCCATTTTAAGTCACACCATCTCTCATATTTTTTACATATTTTTTCAAAAAAAGCCAAAAAAAAGTTAAAAGTGAACTTTTAACCATCTTTTCAAGACAACCCTAAATGTACGTCAAATCTATGGTTAACAGATAGCGTTGTTTTAGAGGGTTGGGCTTTAAAAAATGGACTTATTAGACTTAAACATTCTCACAAGTTGAGATGACAACTTGAAAAAACTAAACTTTTTAAAGATAATATACACCAAAATTTCTATAAAATTAACAATCTGAATTATTAAAATGATGTCCATGATAGACCTCACGTGCTTAGACAACGAACTCAATCCTTACATTAAACTAATCACTTAGCCTAACAGCACCTTGTTTGCACTACAAGAATTTTCACTTTTGGCGACTAAATTTTTAGTCGCCAAAAGTCATTTTTTAGTCGCCTATAGTCTTTAGCGATTAAATTTTTTGGTCGAAAAATTAGTAGCCGAAGAGTAGTCGGCAAAGCGAATTGGCGACTAAAAATTAATTAAATAATACATTTTTGCCGACTAATTTTTTTGTCGCCAAAAGCCAATAATTTAGTCGCAGAAGAAATTTTAGCTACTAAATTTTTTAGTCGTGTAAAGCAAATATTAGTGTTTTGGCTACTAAAATTTTAGTCGCCTAAAGTCAACCTTCTTTAGCTACTAAAATTTTAGTTGACAAATATTATTTCTTTTGACTACTACAAATTTAGTCGCCTAAACATTCACATTTTTGGCTACTAAAAATTTAGTCACCTAAACTCCCAGATTTTTTGTTACAAAATTTTTAGTCGACAAAAGTATTTTTTTTAATTCTTCAACTTTTGTTTTTAGCTACGAAAGATTTTAGTCACCAAATGTTTGGTTTTCTTTTGGCTACAAAACTTTTAGTAGCCAAAGGTTTTTTTTTTGAAAAATTTACTCATAAGTCCTAGTTTCTGAAAAGTTGAACTATTTAGTCTTAAAAGTTTTCTTATGCTCCATTTAGTCCCATTTGCACATCAATCTAATGTTTGAAACATTAATCTGATGTTCGAAATCTAATGTTCGAAACATTAATCTGATGTTCAAAATCTAATGTTCGAAACATTAATATGATGTTTGAAACATTGTAACGGGACCTTTCAGTCTATAAGAAAACTTTTAGGACTAAACAGTGTATAAGTTATTAATTTGGGATTTATTGGTGCATCCCCTTTTTTTTTTCCCTCCCCCCCTCCCCCCTTTTTTGGCTACAAAACGTTTAGTCGGCAAAAACATGATATTATGTTTTATTGCACATATTATAATGTGTCCATACCCTGTCTGTATTCCATTCAACATGTAATATGTACATAAGTAAAATGCTACATAAAATATCAATGATTCCACAATCTGTATCCGTATACAAAAAATAAATTACTTTAATTGTCCAAGTACATACAAACCAACTATTGTCCAAACTAAAATAACAATTCCATACAAAATATAGAATCATACAAAAAGTAAAGCCCTCCATATACAAAAATTACATTTACTATACCATGTGAAACGACCATTTGACATGGTACAAATTCCCATCGTACTTTGTACCAAGCCAAAAGTACATCTATGTACCATGACAAAAAATCATATATCTGTATGGCGACAAAAGGTGATCTATCTACCATGCCAGTAATTATCTGTTGGCTGCCAAAAGTTTTCTGTATCAGTAATAGATAACTGCACAAAAGCCGGAGATGACAAAAGTATTATATTACTTCTATACAAAAGTACAATTTCTTCTCCATACACAAGTACAATTTCTTCTCCATACACCAAAATATCTATAGAAGTCCACGCATCAAAGTCATCTACAAAAAACAAAAAAAACATTAGAATTAGATCCAAAAATGCTCAACTTCATCAATGAATTTGGCAACAAGTGACAAATAAAAATAAGTGAGAAACAACCTTCCATTTCAAAAAGGATATTAGAACGTGTGATAAAAATAATAACAAAAATAAATTTCAATCATAAAAGGAAATATGTAGAAATGTATGTTGAGACACCTATAAATGGTTCATCAAAGAAAAATTACTTGATATCTCATGACGCACATGGCCTCAGAAACACCATGAGCACGTTTCATACTTGTATGAAAGCTTAAATATAATATAACACACGTGTGCACGTTCAAAAAATTACCAACTTTATAACAAGGCGTAAACTGAATTCATATTGGTTTCTGAATATTTTTCCCATAATTTTCCATTACTAGACATCTACAATACATTTCGTCAGTCGTCACAAGTCCTATTTGTAATGGGAAAACTGCCCGTGAGAGTCAGACGGAGGTTCGGGGGCTATTTTGAAGTTTCGCCCCCGAAACGCCCTTTTTCGACTAAGTTTTGGGCGTATTTGGCTCTAAATCCCAACCTACGGGTCCAAAAAACATTCCGTCAATTGTCACAAGTCATATTTGGCATAAGGAAGCTATTCGTGCTGGCCACACGGCGGTTCAAGGACTGTTTTGAATTTTTGCCCCCAAAACGCAATTTTTCAATTAAGTTTTAGGCGTATTCGTTTCTAAATCCCAACCTACGGGTCCGAATAACATTTCGTCATTTGTCACAAGTCCTATTTGGCATGGGGAAGGTGTTCATGTCGGCCATATGGCGGTTCGGGGGCTGTTTTCAATTTTCGCCCCCGAAACACCCTTTTTCGACTAAGTTTTGGGCGTATTCGGCTCTAAATCCCAATATATGGGTCCGAATAATATTCCGTCAGTTGTAACAAGTCATATTAGGCATGGGAAAGCTGTTCGTGTCAACCACACGGCGGTTCGGGGGATGTTTTGAATTTTTGCCCCCGAAATGCCTTTTTCGACTAAGTTTTGGGCATATTCGGCTTCAAATCCCAACATATGGGTCCGAATAACATTCCGTTAGTTGTAACAAGTCATATTTGGCATGGGGAAGTTGTTTGTGTCGGCCACATGGCGGTTCGGGGGCTGTTTTGAATTTTCGCTCCCGAAATGCCCTTTTTCGACTAAGTTTTGGGCATATTCAGCTCTAAATCCCACCCTATGGGTCCGAATAACATTCCGTCAGTTGTTACAAGTCATATTTGGCATGGGGAAGGTGTTCGTGTCGGCCACACGGTGGTTCAGAGGCTGTTTTGAAGTTTTGCCCCCCCAAAGCCCTTTTTCGACTAAGTTTTGAGCGTATTCAGCTCTAAATCCCAACTTACGGGTCCGAATAATATTCCGTCAGTTGTCACAAGTCATATTTGGCATGGGGAAGGTGTTCGTGTCAGCCACACGGTGGTTCAGGGACTGTTTTGAAATTTCGCCCCCGAAACGCCGTTTTTCGACTAAGTTTTGGGCGTATTCGGCTCTAAATCCCAACCTACGGGTCCGAATAATATTCCGTCAGTCGTCACAAGTCATATTTGGCATGGGGAAGGTGTTCGTGTCAGCCACATGGCGGTTCGGGGGCTGTTTTGAATTTTCGCTCCCGAAACGCCGTTTTTCGACTAAGTTTTTGGCGTATTCAGCTCTAAATCCCAACCTACGGATCCGAATAACATTCCGTCAGTTGTCACAAGTCATATTTGGCATAGGGAAGGTGTTCATGTCGGCCACACAGCGGTTCGGGGTCTGTTTTGAATTTTTGTCCCCAAAACACCCTTTTTCGACTAAGTTTTGGGCGTATTCGGCTCTAAACTCCAACCTATAGGTCCGAATAACATTCCGTCAGTTGTCACAAGTCATATTTGGCATAAGGAAGGTGTTTGTGTCGGCCACACGGCGGTTCGGGGCTGTTTTCAATTTTCGCTCCCGAAACGCCCTTTTTCGACTAAGTTTTGGGCGTATTCGGCTCTAAATCCCAACTTACGGGTCCGAATAACATTCCATCAGTTGTCACAAGTCATATTTGGAATGGGGAAGGTGTTCGTGTCGTCCAGACGGCAGTTCGGGGATTGTTTTCAATTTTCGCCCCCTTAACGCCCTTTTTCGGTTAACTTTAAGGAGTTTTTGGCTCTAACTCCCAACCTAAACGTGCTAATTACATGCCGTCTGCTGTCACAGGTCCTATTTTCCACAAGAAAGGTGGCCGTGACATCTGTACGCCAGTTAGGAAGTTGTTTCGCATTTTCGGCCCCTTAACGCCCTTTTTCAATTAAGTTTAGGGCGTTTTTGGCTCTAACTCGCAACCTAAACGTGCTAATTACATTCCGTCTATTGTCACAGGTCCTATGCATCACAGGGAAGGTGTCCATGAGAGTCGTAAAGTGGTTCGGAGGCTGTTATCAATTTTTGCCCCCAAAATGCCCTTTTTCGACTAAGTTTAAGGAGTATTGGGCTCCAACTTCCAACTTACAAGTCCAAATTACATTCCGTTAGTTGTCACAAGTCCTATTTGTCATGGGGAAGCTGTCCGTGAGAGCCACACGGTGGTTTGGGGGCTGTTTTAAATTTTAGCCCCCAGAAGGCCCTTTTTCAACTAAGTTTAAGACGTTTTTGGGTCTAACTCCCAACATACGGGTCCAAATTACATTCCGTCAGTTGTCACAGGTCTTATTTGTCAAGGGGAAGCTGTCCATGAGAGCCACACGGTGGTTCAGGGGCTGTTTTGAATTTTCACTCCCGGAATGCCCTTTTTTGACTAAGTTTAGCACGTATACGGCTCTAACTCCCAACCTACGTGAGAGTCACACAGTGGTTCGGGGGCTGTTTGCAATTTTCGCCCCCGAAACGCCCTTTTTCGACTAAGGTTAAGGCATATTCAGCTCTAACTTCCAACCTACAGGCCTGAATTACATTCCGTCAGTTGTCACAAGTGTTATTTAAAATCTAATACTGATTTCCATCAATTGTGGGGGCTAAGGAATCAAAGACCGGTCAAGGAGGAACCACCTGAGGGGGTGAACCAAATAACCTTGATGATCGCTCCTTTAGCCTTCAAGCCACAAGTCCTCCAATGATCTTAAACGAGGGTTCATATCCTTACTTCCAGTCTAGGCGATTATGGTTGTGATAAAATTGCAGAGTGTTTATGTTCATTTGTGTATTCTGGGTATTCTAAACACCAAAAAGTTGATTTCAAATATTCAAAAACTGTTTACACAAAAATGAAAACAATGGGTATTTTTGAACTTTTCATTGTTTTTGTTAAAGAAAAACGAAAAATAAAAGAAAAAACAATAACAAACATGTCAGATTTTAAAATTGTTTCCTTGTGTACTTCTTGAGCCTACCCTAGGGATGAAAAATCCATGGTAATGCTGATGTATTTCATCCAACTTCCTCATATTTGTTGATTTGATTATGTTTCTTAACATTTCTTTCATATTACATAGAACTTCAGCATTCCTATGCAAAGAAATGCACAGGCATTACTAAGAGAACACTGTGTTTAGAAAACTGAGTATGAGGGCAAGCACACATCCCATACCCACGTTTATTGAGGTTATCTAATCATAAACCTCTTGCAAGTTACCAATTCTTCGCATCATTTACTTTTGGGCAGTACAGAGCATATGCTTATAGCAATAGAATATCAGGCCAACGTTGGTGTGTAAGCATAAACAAACAACATAAGCACAATTCTAGAGTAACAGAAAAATTAATAGCTAGAACCATTGAAGAAATTAATCTTTAGAGATTTTTAGCAAGCATTTATGATGAGCATTCCACATAATTAAACCTCGAGCAGCAGTTCCAGAACCAGAAAACAGAAAAGAAATGAAAACAAATAGTAGAAAAGAAAAGGTGCCACGGCAGATTGAATACCACAATAACGTGGATCTCCAAGAAGGCCAACAAATGATATGTAGTCATTTGACAATCTTGCCCGTCCTTCTTGCTCCTCTATCATAGAATAAGCAATATACAATGAAATGATAATACAATATTAACACGCTAGATAATAAACCCATTGTATTTGTCAGTCCCAAACTACTTCAAGGAGTGAATATCAATCACTTCAAGATACAAGACCTCAAACTTATATTAGTCTAATTATGAAAAGCATCTATGAAGCACGGACACTGACACGGACACGGATACGGACACGGGACACGGCAATTTCCAAAAAATGGGGACACGGACACGGCAGGGGAGCTCAAGTGCAAAAAAGAAAAAAGAAAGTCTAAACCAATTTTAATTTATATTATTTTTTAAAATTCAATTATGAAGAATGATACAACATATACCTTAGTTATTTTTTAATCTATAAGCAGCTTCTTCAGCTTCTTGAATTTTCTTGTCTTCAAGAATTTATCTGCCTATAATTTTTTAGCGAAAACCAATTAAACTAGTGACACTAGTGTCTATGCCAATGCAAATATATCCACAAGGGGGTGGGGACAGGGAGAAAGGCACTCGATGAGTAAAAAATGAAAATCAAAATGTCCTTTATCATTGCTGATACAAATGTAAATGGGCATTGTCAGACGGAATCACGTTTATCTTCTACTTCATCTTCCTTGGTTCTACACAACACCAAGGGAAGCTTTTTTTGAATACTTAGATGTTACAATGTGACAAGGTAGTTTGCATGTGAAAACATTTTAAGGGCTGTTTGGTTGTCATGAAAACAGGGGGGTAGAAAGGAAAATAACAAAAATAATTGAACATTGGACTCCATTACTCGGTTAATGATATTGTGCATAATCTTAGGCAAATAATTACTAGGTTCTATTTGTGTGGAAAAAATATATCTATACTACTTGCCTAATTGCGTGTCATGCCTCAAACTAACATAATAACAAGTATCACTTTGTTCTGGGGATTGAGTTCTTCAAATGGTCAGTGATCACAATTGAAAGTAGAATTCTCCAGTAAAATATTGGGGAGATACCTATTTGGTAGAATATTTTGAAGTATACAAATCATTTTCAAGAGTACAATTATAGTGAGAAGTCAAATTAAATAAAATGGGCTTTATTAGATAATTGAAACACACAGAATAACAACAAAACATAAATAAATAAAAATCATGTAAAAAATTGTGGGAATTAAAGAACCCTGTATCCTTTTTTCCTTTTTGATTGTGATATATATTTATTTATTTGGGGTAGATATATAGGAAGGACAATTGAGGACAATTATAACCTTACATTGTGATCGAGACACAAAAATAAATTGACAAAGCTTGAGACACAAAATATTGCACTTTGGTGAAAAATTCGTGCCCAGTTCATTAAAAGCTCATTAAAAAGTGACTTGTTATGTAAACAAGCCAAGCTTGAAAGCATTTTAAAACTCGTTAAGTTTTTAAGTCAAACCTCAACAACTAACTACTTGGCTAATTTACAATCCTAAATATATATGCCATACAACTTCCAATCCACTGAGCATTAAATTCTCTAGAGAATGCCAACTCTCTCCAATGAAATACCCTAAATCTGTGCAAGTCAATCATCATAAGATGGTAATCCACAGAGATAGTTCATGGGTACTATACAATAATACCTAACATAAGCTTAGAATTTGTTTGGCAGTTTCATTGGTTTACAGAGTGATATTACAGACAAATGACTAAATCAGAAAACACGCAGACCACTACACAGATGAATTATATAAGAATTAATGAAGAAAAAAGACAAATAAAACACTGAAGAAAAACAATTAGAACCAAAAATCAAAATGCCTGAAGTGTGAAAATAAAGAAATAGAGACACTGACCTTGACATCACTTGTTTGGAAATATATAAACAGATAATGCCCAACCACGATCCCAATTGTGATTCCCACTCCAGATCCAAAGTTTCTCACTATCACATTTCATTGATTTTGATTTTTGACATCAAAATTTTTTCTCTGTCAAACGCATAATTTTATGGAAATCAAACCACTTCAACCAAACCCAATAAACAAATCAACACAAAATTAAACTAAAAAAATCATATAAAACCCTAGCAAGTGTGAGAAATGGAAAAAATAAACGAAAGGAGAGAGAGAGAGAGAGAGAGAGAGAGAGACTGAGATCGATAGAGAGGGAGAGAGAACGAGAGCGACAGAAAGAGAGAGAAAAACCTGTGATTTGCGGCATTGACGGTGTGACTTGCGACGGTGGCCAGCTACGGTGGAGTGGTGAGCCGGGGGTGAGGTTTGGTGGTGACTGTTCTATTGCTGGTGGGGAGATGGGTGGTACCGTCGCTGGTGGGGATGTGGATTGTACCGTCGCCGGTGAGGAGGTGGGTTGTACCGTCGCCTGCGACACTGGTAGACCGTGGCCGGTAGGAGGGTCGCCTCCGATGGAGTGAGAGAAAGAGAAAGAGAGAGAAGAGGGATGATGAGAGAGTGAAACGGGAGAGGACTGATAGGGTAGTCTAATTAAGGGACAAGGTTTGGTCAATGCCGACTAATTTTGTTTTTAGTAACGGCGACTAAATATTATTTTAGCAACGCTGCTACACACCTCCAGTCGGGTCGACTCCAGTGACGTGGCGCATTTTCATTGGTCAATTTTTTTTTTTTTCGTTTCCTTCCAATCTAGTAGTGCCACGTGGCACTGGAGGGGTTGCTGAGGGTGGGGTTTACTGGGCGTCGGACGCATTTTTGTTATTTTAGTCACTAAAAGTAGTGATTTGGCGACTAAACATTTTAGTCGTCAATTAATTTTATTAATCCCTCCAAAATTTAAAAAATTCCTCTAAATATTTTATTTTTTGGCGACTAAAATTTATTTTTGTCGCTGAAAGTAAGTTTATGGCGATTAAAACTTTAGTCGCCAAAGAGAAAAAATACTTTTTTTTTATTTTCCATTCGACGACTAAACATTTTAGTAGCCAAAAATCAATATACGGCGACTAAATTTATTTTTGTCGCTGAAAGTAAGTTTTTGGTGACTAAAACTTTAGTCGCCAAAGAGAAAAAATAATTTTTTATTTTCCATTCGGCGACTAAATATTTTAGTAGCCAAAAGTTAATATACAGCGACTAATTTTTTTTTGTCGCCAATTCTTGCATTTTTAGCGACTAAATTTTTTTTTAGTCGCCAATAATGAATATACTCCATCTAACTAACTGTATCCAGTATCAAGTATATAAGCAAACCACTCCCCCTTTTTGTTCGAGAGGGATTAAAAACCAAGTGACACAGTAGCCAAAAGCATGACTAGTCATCAATGATCATGGAGTGGGTGGCTGTGACTGCATCCGACGAAAAGATAGGATCTGAGCTAACTGAGAAGAAGACTGGGCCACGGACTCCTTAATGCGTCGTGAAGAAGCCTCCAATGCAATGAACCGAGCATCGACAGTAGTCTCTAGATCCGTGAGCCGTGCCTCAAAAATATCCATCCGCTCCTCGAGTCGGTCACAATGCGAAGCAACAAACTGCTCAAAAAACTGAAGCTGGCCACGAATAGTACGAACCGGAGGTGGCTACTCCCCCTCAGCAATAGCACCACCGGCAGCAGCTGTATCAAACTCCGCCTCTTCTGCCATAGCAGCAACATCACCTGTACCTGTACCAGACCGACCCGCCCTAGTAGAAACCCCCCAAATGTGAGACTGACTTTGAGAAACAGTCTTTTTGGTAAAAGGCCGGGCAGGTGAAGTAAACTCATCCTCATCAAATGAATAGACCTCAAACTTGGCGAGAAGCCGGTTAATAAGGCACCCGTAAGGCAAACCAAGGTTGTTACCCTCATACGCGGCAACTATTTTTTGGATGATCAAAGTGGCAAGATCAATGGAGCGATGTTGAGCAAGACACTAGAGGATAAACCTTTGGTCTTGGTTGATTTCTGAACTATGGGTGGTAACGATAATATTGGCACAAACAATGAGGTTGAGCAACCGAAAACTGCGGTAGAAGCTCATTTTGTTTGATTAAGGAGCCGGAGGGCCAAGGACGAGGGGTACCACATAAAGCAGTGGCAACCTCATTGAAATCACAAGTTGGACGCACAGGAAAAGGATAGAAGATGAGGAAGACTTTACTAATGCCTAACAACTCTCTAATAAGATCAGTAGTGACAGTGATTGACTTGGACCTGACCCAAGTCTTGAATGACGGACCAATGTCATCAAAACTTTCCATGTTATAGTAGAATTCTCGAACCCAGCTAAGATTTTGGGGACCTGAGAAAGAGAGACCAAATCCCCACCCAAGGGATCAAAAAGGGAATAAATATGAATAGACTCAAATGTGTTAGGTTGAACATTGCGTTCGAGATGAACAGTTCGGGATGGATAAGACTCTCGAAATAACTTGGCTTTCTCAGGCGAGGGAAACCGGTCAGAGTTAAAAGCAGGTCGAAGGGCAGTAGACTTCTTTCTCTTGAAAGTAGACATGACTAAACCAAGACAAAGACAAAAAAACAAAACACACAACCCCCAACCCAAGACAAAAATTAAACCAAAAGAGGAAGAACAAAACATTAGTAGCACAGTTTAATATGACGACATGAGTCGAGTAGATAAGGCTATGTAAGCAATATAGTCAGTTTAGAGTAAGCCTAAGTGCTCAAAATGCAATAGATATGAACCATGGTAAGCAAAGCAACCATAACCCAAAAAAACAAAAAAAAAATAGACTCAAGGGAAACATTGATACACACGACAGTTAAAGACCTTAATCCATCATAATATGCCAAAAACTCAACACTACAGAACAAGAGGCACACGACTAATAAGACCCATCCTATATGAATAAGAGTAAATGATGAAACATTAGTGAAGACAAAAATAACTATGAAAATAAACAAGAAAACGGAGATAAGACAAAAGATGGGCATAACTTTGGGGTGTGAGAAGGACAGAAATCAGCAATGCACAGACCAAGGAAGACAATGCATGGAATCGCCAAGGAGCCCTAGAAAAGAGAAAGAAATTTGGGAAAAAATGAACTGAAGAGACGAGGGAGGGAGAATTTAAACAAAACCAGTCCGCTCGAGTGTGAGATTGAACACTCGAGCGGGATAAGAAGCATGCGCAGATACTCTTGAGCTCGAAAATGGACGCTCGAGCGCCAAAACAACCCTCACAAAACTGCAAAACACGGCACAAAATGCTGCAAGACTGAAATCCATGCTTGAGCGTGATATTTGCCGCTCGAGCGGGGACAAAACACCACCAAACTAAAATTATTATTATTATTATTTTTAAAAAAAAAAACAAAAACAACTCAATCGGAAAATGATGTCCTGTAAACAACAGGGAGTACAATTGGAAGACTGTAACACTGAGATGAGATTTTCCATCAACCATGAATCCTGTAAACTTTTATAGTTAAAAAAAAATATGAATCACAAGATCATGAACAAGTCAGATAGTATTTAATCAATGAGCATAAATAGCATGAGAATGCATAACTCAAAAACACACATGAGAGCTCGTGAAAAGAATGTGTATGTGTGCAATCCTTGAGAGCCACAAAGCTAAAGTTAATCCTCGTAGTGATCAGATGGCTAGACCTCCAACAAGAGCAACTGAACATCACAGAGAAAAGTCAAACCACTAGGAATCACGGGATATTTGTTGAGTAAGCGCGAAGACTCCCCCTCAATCAATGAGTTCCTTTTTTTTTTTAAACTTTTCTTTCTTGTGGGAACTCACTAGTGGCATGCACGCTCAAGAGTATGGAGACCAAACCAAAGAAGAATGAAATCAAAAAGGATGGCTTGGTTAGTGCCTCTGAGTTAGCCTTTTCCTAATGCCCGGACTTCAATGAACTGAGGAAGAAATCGTAGAAGTGAAAAATGATGATAGATGGTTAAGAGACTCAGCATCACCCATGATATACTAGCATAGGTCAATTCCTCTAAAAAAATACAAGAAACACTGTTAGTGGTCCATAGAGAACTTTGATCACTTGTGCAGAAACTCCTACAACAGTTTATCTCAATGATGTGTACAGTCTGAGATCATGAAGTTAATGAGTATGGGCATTCAGAATGAGCTATGAACAACGAAAAAATGAAATTTTGTAAGCAACATGAGCAGTGTTCATATAATTTTGGATACAAAGATGACAAGAATCAATGACAATGAGATTATAACATCCAAGTATACAAAAAGCCAACCACTCACACCCACTTAAAAAACAGGAAACACCCTAGTTACTGAGCACTACACCCAAGGTCATTCTAAGAAACTCAAACCGAAGAAGATTAAGGGGTTTTGTAAAAATATCAGCTTTTTGATGCTCAGTGAGTATATGTTCAAGAATAACAAGGCCTTCTTCCACTAACTCTCAAATAAAATGATGACGAATGTCAATGTGTTTGGTGTGAGAGTGTTGGACAAGATTTTTTGAAATGTTTATGGCACTTGTATTATCATAGAAAAGAGTGAGAGTGTTCTGTTCTATCCCATAATCATGAAGCATTTGCTTCATCCACAGCATTTGTGCACAACAACTTCCTGCAGCAATGCACTCAGCCTCCGCAGTCGAAAGAGAGATGGCATTTTGCTTTTTACTATGCCAGGAAACCAAATTATTCGCAAGGTAAAAACACCCCCCGGATGTACTCTTCCTATCATCAGCACACCCTGCCCAGTTGGCATCAGAAAAACCAGTAATTTTAGCTGTAGTATCAGTAGAAAACCAAACCCCATACCCCAATGTCCCATTAACATATTTAATGATGCGTTTGACAGCAAGAAGATGAGACTCTTTAGGACTGGCTTGGTAATGGGCACAAACACCTACACTGAAGGCAATATCAGGACGACTGGCTGTGAGGTAAAGAAGACTTCCTATCATACTCCTATGCAGGGTAGGATCAACATCAGTACCGGAGGAATCTTTGAAAATGTGAAGACTGGTGCTCATGGAAGTGCGTGCATATTTGGCAGACTCAAGACCAAACTTTGACACAAGATTTTTGGCATACTTAGTCTGAGAAACAAACATACCTGAAGGAGACTATTTAATTTAGAGACCCAAAAAATAAGACAACTCTCCCATCATGCTCATCTCAAACTCATGTGTCATGCAATCAGAAAAATATTACACAAGATGATCAGCAATAGATCCAAACACAATATCATTAACATAAATTTAAGCAACAAGAATCACAAATAAAGTCTTATCCACACTACCCCTTTGAAAGTCATTATCAAGAAGAAAGGTAATCAGTCCGTCATACTAAGCCCGAGGGGCTTGTTTCAACCTACACAACGCCTTGTCTAACTTGTAGACATGATTTGGACATTTAGGGTCCTCAAACCCTTTTGGTTGCTCAACATAAGCCTCTTCTTTCAAGTACCCATTCAGAAAGGCACTTTTCACATCCATTTGATACAATTTGAAACCAAGAAAACATGCAACACCAAGTAAAATACGAATTGATTCGAGACATGCAACTGGGGCAAATGTCTCATCATAGTCAACACCCTCTACTT